ATGCCTGAAATGACTAATCCAATCAAATGAAGTCTGCGTTAGTTGGAAGAAAACGAATTGGGGTTAAACAGTAGTAATATATAGTACGTCAAATATCGATAATGTCGAGGTTGATACTGATCTTGACTAGGTTGTTGTGGGTTAATTAGTTAATTGGTTTAAGCACTTAGAAAATAACACTGATAAAATAACGTTTATGTTGATAGTATACTATTAGCTGGTCCCGACAAAGAATTGGCTAGTTTTCGATTCAAACATGTGGTAAATCCTTTTTTAGCCTTAGGGGCCTACCAACTTGACAAAGACTTGCCATATACGTCCTCTTCATGTAATCTTCAATTCCTTTACTTCAAAGATATTTTTTGCATCTCTTTTTTTGTTGTTCGTCAAGAAGATATTTTCATTTAAATTTGACAAAGTTGTAAAGGTCGATAATGATATCTCAAAAAGTACAAATAAAATGTGAAAAAAATCATCATTTATAAAAAGACACAACGAAGGTTGGAGATATTTTTTTCTTTCAGATATTTTCTTCCTTTTCAATTATCTCTTTTCACGAACCGACCCTACAATAATTCAAAAGAAATCCATCACAACAAAAATTCATAAATAAAAGTAAATTTAAAAAATGAATTTAGGTTGAGATAAGGAAGAAGGAATAAGAGAGAGAGACCTTAAAACGAGGTCGTTTATCAGCGTTGAGTTTTCGGACTTGATACCTTATCTTCTTAGAGAAAAGCCTAGTCCGTCTCTTCTCTTTGTACCTCAAAACACTTGCTTCTCTTCTCATGTTTCTCTCTTCCTCCATCACTGGCACTTCTCCTCTCTACATTAAAATCATTATTACTAATTAATCAAGAATAAACCATGACTAATCATAACTTGCATAACAAGTAAGAGATTTCACAGTAACTAACATAAAACGCATTGGCAGGAGCCATTCGCGTTGAAGTATCTGTCCATAGAGGTTGCTGGCGATCAGACCAAGCATCAATAACTTCTTGATGGTTCAGATTCAGCTTCAAACCCAACTCTTTCTCTTCATAATCCGTTGAAGTATTGTCCGAAAACCCGAAACTTGAGCCTTCTTGATCAGTACTCAA